CTTTCGATTCCCAGGGTTGCTTGAAGACCCACATTTTGGATAAAAACATCTGCCGAATGCATAAAAGCATAACAATAAGCCAAACCACATCATCCTGGCTTGTTTTGAAGAAATTATGTGTTTCTGACCAGCTGCCCTGTTCTTCTCAACTAACAGCACATTGGGGTTCCCTGTAGAATATCAGACTTGGACACACACCGGGGAATAATCAGCTGTACACACTCTTCTTATCACAAACACAATGTTCAACGGCAGCACACCCGAAACAACACACAAATGAACACACGCCCTGCACAACATAAAAGCTTTTTCAGTTTCAGTGTAGCATGAATGCACGTGTATGCGCCACAGAGAAAACACAAATAAACCTCCGCACAGGAGTCGAATGCAAATCTCTATCGGAGACGTTAAGGATTAATCCTGCTCGATTCATTAGTCTGTCAAAAACACAGACACACACAAACCGTCATGACCTGCATGTGCATAAACACACACACACACACACACACACACACACACACACACAAGTGAAGCATATAAATCTACAAAAAACAACGGTGCTAACTTTGATGAGTTAAATATAATGGTGCATGTGCATTTAGCTCTTGAATGCAATGCAAACACGTTTGAAATCATTATTAATATGTTTTATGCATGCATCATCACTGTATTATACACCAAATGTAAGGGAGAGTCATTGTAAAAGGAAAAAACAAGGATTTACTGCACAAAAATAAAAGTGAATACTAACTAAACGGCTCTTCCAGATGACAAACATGACTCTAATCAATATGCTTTCACAAGCTTGAGCCACAAGGAGGGAAAAAAGGCGTCGTTTTACAAACACATTCAATTCAATTGTTTACTTCATGCTTATCAGGAGCCGGTTTATCAGCAGGACAAGACGTTCTCATAATAACTAACTCCTCAAAACACATATGAGGCAGGAAATGTTGCATGCTGAATTTGTCTAGAGCTACAGCACGGATTTTAACAGTGTGGCTGGTGCTATTATGATGCGTATTGACAGATAATTCAGTTGAATATGTGGAGATTTCATTTCAATTGATTTATTTTTAAACCTTTTTATTGCCCTGTAATTACTTAACATATTTTACAGTAGCTAATCTATGCCTTATTAAACTTAACACATTATTTGCTGACTGTGTGTCTAGCTATATATTGTCCTTCTGAAAACTGCAAGTCCCAGAATGCACTCAGGTTATGAGGCTACTAGCAGGAGAGCTTCATGTTTTAGCTCCTGCCCAAAAACGTCCATGCAATATGTCAGATTACATAGAATTTTAAATGACAAATTTGTACAATTAAATAATTTGGCAGGGGATTAAACAATTTGCATGTTTATTTATATATTTAATGTAAAGATTAAGCACATATTTTGCTTATTCTGTCATTAAATTTCACAACTGTTAACTCACAAATTTATTATAATCAAATGAAAATTAGTACTTCAATACTGTCCAATGTATCCAAGATTAAAAATTGTAATTCAGTTACATACACATGCCCTGCTAAATATTATTAATACTATGCAATTAGCAAATAACTATTGTGCACTACTTGTTTGATGCTTAAAAACTTGATAAAAATACTTAATAAAATGGAAAAGGTTTAATGGAGATAGATAGATAGATAGATAGATAGATAGATAGATAGATAGATAGATAGATAGATAGATAGATAGATAGATAGATAGATAGATAGATAGATAGATAGATAGATAGATAGATAGATAGATAGATAGATAGAGCAAATATATTTTGCAGAATGCATCTTTCTCTTTGTCATTTAATTTCACAGTTAATTCACAAATTTACCCAAATCAAATGGAAATTAGTAATTTAATACATACCTATTGTGCACTACTGTGGTGTTTAAGAACTCTAAAATCAGTATAGATTTTCTCAATAATTATTTTCCTTTCAACAAATCAAGACCTTAATGAAAATCTAAAAAATAAATAGATAGATAGATAGATAGATAGATAGATAGATAGATAGATAGATAGATAGATAGATAGATAGATAGATAGATAGATAGATAGATAGATAGATAGATAGATAGATAGATAGATAGATAGATAGATAGATAGATAGACTTCGTCATTAAACTCATCATGCAATCTGATTGCTTTTGCGGAACAACTGCCTGATCAAATACAAATATAAGAAATATTCAAAAGGTAAAAATTCCAATGTTTTTCACTGTAATTAATCAGAAAATATGTATCAGGTTATGTCAGTCTTTAAGGGAAAATAAAAGAAAAACCGTAAACACTAATCAAACATAAGATGGATTGTTTTTGAGGAACAAACGACAAACAAGAATTGCTTATCAAATATAAATATACGAAATATTACTAAATTTCAGCTAAATGCATTAATAAACAGAAGCATTCCTCATTAAAAGAAAAGACGGGGCTGATGTGTCTTCCACTAGCTGTTATGGTACTGAATTGCCACATAATAAATTTACATTTAATTGTAACAATAGTTTTCACTGTCGCTAAACTGAAAATATGTATAATGTTATGTCAGTCTTTCAGGTAAAAATAAAAGCAGTAAACACTGATCAAACTGAAATTGTAAAAAAATATATATATATAAAAAAAAAATATATATATATATATATA